ACTTGATGGTAAAAGGGAGAAGTGTGTATTTATTGGTTATAGTGATATCTCTCGAACTTACAGGTTATATAATCTTGTGACAAAAAAAGTGATAGTGAGTAGAGATGTGACTTTTGACGAAAGAACTGTTTGGGATTTGTCTACTGAAAATCTTGAAACAGCAGGGGTGACTCTAAATTATCAGCAAGAGGAGGATAATTATGATATTCAGGTATTATCAGTTGCTGAAGATCCACAAACTGAGTTAAATGGACGTCCCCAACATCGGTGACAGATGTCAGCTCGTCTGCAGGATTATGTTATTACACTAGATGATATTCCTCCTGACGAAGATATTGTTAATTTTGCTTTGTTTGCAAATTGTGACCCAGTTGTGTATGAAGAAGTAGCCAGTGATAATCGTTGGATGAAGGCAATGGAGGAAAATGTTCGTGCAATGGAGAAGAATGACACCTGAGAACTTACTTCTCTTCCAATTGGTAAAAAAGTCATTGGAGTGAAGTGGATGTACAAGACAAAATTTTAATCCAATGGAGAAATTGATAGATACAATGCGAGACTAGTGGTGAAAGGATACAAGCAGAAATTTGGGATTGACTATTTTGAAGTGTTTGCACTCGTTGTGAGGTTTAACACAGTTCGTATAATAATTTCTCTAACTGTTCAAAATAACTGAAAAATTTATCAAATGAATGTCAAGTCAGCTTTCTTGAATCGAGTTCTTAATGAAGAAATGTATGTGAAGCAGCCGGCAGGATTTGTCAATAGAGGTCAGGAAAATAAGGTGTATAGATTGAAGAGAACCTTATATGGATTGAAACAAACTCCAAAAGCGTGGTATACAAGAATTGATTCCTATTTTTGATTCATGATTTTTAGAGGTGTACATATGAGCACACTTTATATATTAAATCTTCTATTCGTGGTGATATTGTTACTGTGTGCTTGTACGTAGATAATCTCATTTTTTAGAGAATAATTCAGAAATGGTAGCAGAATTCAGGAAAGTTATGATTAAATAGTTTGAGATGACATATATGATACTCATGTTATATTTTTTAGGAATTGAAGTCTTTCAGTCTAACAGTAAAATTTTTATATCTTAAAAAAAATATGCAAGTAACATTTTAAAGAAGTTTAAAATGGGTACAGTAAAGTCAATTATGACACCAGTTGAAGAAAAATTGAGATTGATCAAGGAAAGCACTGATGGATATATGAATCCCACCTACTTTAAAAGTCTGATTGGAAGTTTGAGATATTTGACGTCTACAAGACCAGATATCAATTTTGCTATTGGTCTGATTAGCAGGTTCATGAAAAATCCACCTTAGTCACACTTGCAGGTAGCCAAGAGGATTTTGAGATATATTGGAGGTATTCGCAGTGATGGCATTTTTTTTATTCAAGAAATGATCCAGTTGAATTGTTTGACTGCACAGATAGTGATTGGGCAGGTGATACAGTAGAAAGAAAGAGTACTTCAGATTATGCATATTTTATTGGTTCTGATGTGTTTTCCTGGAGTTCGAAGAAGCAACAGGTGATTACATTGTCTACAGCGAAGATGGAATATATTACAGTAGCTAACAGTGCTACTCAAGTTTTGTGGTTACGTCGCATACTTGGTGTCCTACAACACAAATAGGTTGATCCTACGAAAATTTATTGTGATTGTAAGTCAGCAAATGAGTTGTCCAAGAATCCAGTACTCTATTGGCGTAACAAGCATATTGATATCAAATATCACTTCATATGTGGTTTGGTTTGAGAGAGGGAAATTGAAATCGATTATTGCAGAACTGAAGAGCAAGTAACTGACATTTTCACCAAAACATTAAAGACGGATATTTTTGTCAAGTTGAAGAAGATGTTGGGGATGACCAAATTTGAGGAGCTTGATTTAAGGGAGGCAATGTAGAAATATAAACCAAACTAGTATTGATTGGTTAGTTTTATTTTATTGGCCACGTGTCATTTCTTTATTGGGTAGTTTCGTTGGCAAGTCAAAAGTTGGTCACATGGGATTAATTCCATGTAGAAATATAAATTCCATGTAGAATTCCATGTAGTCAAAAGTTGGCAATGTAGAAATATAAACCAAACTAGTATTGATTGGTTAGTTTTATTTTATTGGCCACGTGTCATTTCTTTATTGGCTAGTTTCTTTGGCAAGTCAAAAGTTGGTCACATGGGATAAATTCCCATATTGGTAGTACTAATAAGTTGGGCAAGTCCGTGGGGTACACAGGTTGTATAAAGCCTCTGCTTTTTTATTTTTGTACTTGTGTAGCCACAACCTCCTTTGAATAATAGAAGAAAATTTCTTTTCCTTTGTCTCATATATCAAATTTTTGATATTGTTCCTGTGGATTTATATGTATTTATATGTTTGGGTACTTCAGATATATCTAATTAAAAAAATTATTAAATTTAATAGAGTTGTAAAATAAGAAAGATTACACTATGAATTATAAATCTGACCAATTACACGAGTTACTCTATAAATATTTTTGCATATTTATCCTCTCCGATCTGCTATGCTATCCAACTAGTTCAAGTTTTGAACTAATGTTGAGATTTGACGAAAGAATTCAATTATAGATTTAAAAAACTCTTATATTAACAAAATGCACCAATTTAGCTTCCAGAATCATGATGAACTTGGAAATGCTGGAGAATTCAACCTTATCGATGGTGGCGTTGCTGCAAATAATCCGGTCTGGTACTCGTGTACTTAAATTAGCTAATCTATTATCATAAGTTTCAACAATACCCTACCAATGATGGATTACAGTTTTTGCATCAGAATATGTAACATAATCAGTAGCCCTGAAAAAAATATAACAAATCGGTAATTTATTTCCAGAATGCAGACTGTTGTGGTTACAATATTTGCACTAGAACACATAACACATCAGTTTATTTCATAAGTGCAGACTGTTTAGTGCATACATTACATAGTGGAAAAAATTATTTCATGGTTGGTGAGTGTAGATTAAATCTACCGAAGAAAACTCAATCAATCCGAAATATATGCAAAAAAATTTATAATGCACTTTATAAGACTACAAACCCATTATACTGGGATCGATACAAACAGCTTATAATTGAATAAAATAACCAACCAACGAACAAACAGTAGAAGGAATCAGACTCAACAACTCACATGTAGCGATACTCGAACCCTATATCTGTAAACATTAATTGATATACAAGTTCGACAAATCAATTAAAAGAATAATATGCATTGATTTCTTGGCTGCAGGCCTCAGTTGCCAGAAGCGAAGTAACTAAGCAGATCTTCCATGGAAATCCAGAATTCTTCCCAATTAAGTCCATGGATTGTTGCCGCTTTCTATGATCTCAACAGGCACAGGATCAGCAGAAGTGCAATGCAGCAAAGGCTGCTAAATGGGGAGTATTTGGATGGTCACTTTCCGGACATTCCACTCCCTTGGTGGATGCATTCACCCAAGCCAGTACAGATATGGTTGATTTACACATTTCTGAAGTCTTCCAAGCTCTTCATTCTGACGATAGCTATCTTCGCATTCAGGATGATACACTGATTGGGACGGTATCTTCGGTTGATATAGCTACAAAGAAGAATTCGGATAACTTGGTCATTATAGGTACTGAATTGCTGAGAAAGCCCGTTTCAAGGGTAAATCTGGGGACGGGTCTAGTTGAGACTAGGGGTGCACACCAATCGAGTAGCTTGAATCGAGCTCGTGAGTAGCTTGATTAGCTACTCGACTCGAGATCGATTTTGTTCGATCTCGAGTCGAGCTCAAGTAGCTCGAGTATATGAAACGAGTCGATCTCGAGTAGTTAGGATGATGCAATTTTAGCTCGTCGAGTAGCTCGAGTAGGGGTGCATGATCAAATTGAGCTCCAGTCGAGTACTCGACTCAATATTGAGCTCGTGTTAAGGGCGCAGGATGAAATCGAGTTCGAGGACTCGAGCTCGAATAGCACGCCGAGCTCAATCGAGTCGAGTTCGAGCCTATTTATGTTACTATCGAGTCGAGTTCGATCTTTATTTCTCGAGCTCTGGAGGTCAGCATCGAGTTCGAGCTCGAGTACGTTACTACTCGAGCTCGACTCGGCTCGATTTCACCCCTAGTTGAGACGATAGAAAGTGATGGTACAAATGGGGAAGGTTTGAAAAGGTACGGAGAAAAACTATCTCACGAATAATGTTATTGTACTTTCAGTCATATAATTGAGGCTCCAATTTTCATAAACAGTTTTTTTTTCGCTAAAAATTATTAATTAGTCTAACAAACAATTTTTTTCTCGTGTCCGTATCTCAATTTTTTCATCCTAAAACACTCTCCCCCAGCATTCCTTCCACATTAAATAAATAAATGTATCCAAGCATCATTTATTTTGTTTAAGAATAAAGTGAAGTGCAAATTTCTGTGGATGTCAACTTTCAAGTTTCAGGTTTAAGCTCTCTACTAAATTTTCTCTTGTTATCTGACTTTATTTTCGTTTAATTTAAAATTCAAGAAGATGTGTTTGTTTCTCCTGCAGTTTCACATTGCAAAAATTGTGTTCAGTCTCTAGACACACAAAGTTAGTGTAGACCTCCTGGAAAGATACAAGTAACGAAAATGCTGCCACAAAATGCAGCTATCATAACCAGTATCAGTCTAAGATGAATACTACGAGAATATATAATAATACGATTTACCATTGCAGCAACCCTACATGAGTCGGGCAAGGTCTCTTCCTACAAATAAGAGTCGAACTCTGCGAGTGTTTCTCGGACTGAATATGGATTGTTAAAGTTCCCCTCCTTGATGTAAATTTTCTGGTTCCATATATCTATGAATTTCAAGGAGGTGAATTTTAAAATGATCAAATCTTAACATTTATTTTCTAAATGAATTCAATTTCAATGAACCAAAACCATATCTTAAGATACATATTTTACTAGATTTGAGGTTAAGAACCCAAAGTTAATTTAATGTAAGCCAAAGAAAGGGGCTTTAATTAGCTAGATAATAATTATACCTCTTTAGAGCGTCTTCATTTGTGCCCTTATTTAAAGGTTCAAAAGCACCAGTCTGCAAATTTACCCTGGAAACTGGTTTCTTCAACAATTCCTCACCTACCCTAACGAGATTCTGTAAATTTTCATCCGACGCGATATCCACCGAAGACAACTCGCCAGTAAAGGTGTCATCTTGCATGCATGCATAATTGGATGGACCAAAGCACCTGAAGGTTATGTGCATTTTCCACACGGCGTAATTCTGTTTGTACATGATATAACTTACTTTCAACAACATATAATTTTAGAACAAAATTTTGTGAATCCCACACATGTTATTAAAAACGAGATACAAGATAAGATCTGGACCGTACAATTTTTTTGGCCAAATCTTGACCGTGAACTGCTCAGGACCATCCCTGCCCCAAATCCATAATCGGATATATGGGGAGAAAAAGTCATGAATCGTTTAAAGATCTTCTACTTGTACATGCACGTGGGAAAAAAATAAAATAAATGTCGGCTTCTCTGACTTTTCTCATTTTAATAGGTGTTAGTTATGAGAAAGAAATGAGGAAAATATAATTGACTTGTTTGGACTGCGATTTTCCGTCGGAAAATTACATCGTTTTCCGTGATCACATTTTCCAATTACCTTTTTTTCCTCACATACATCAAATTGTTACAGTAATTTTTTCATGAAAAATCATGGAAAATGCAATCCAAACGCAACCTAAGTCACAGATAGCTACCTGAATTCTTAAATAATTATCTTCTGATTGAAGGGCTTGAAAAACAGTGGAAAGATGAAAATCGACCAAATCACAACTTGCTTGGGTGAATACATCAACAAGGGGAGTTGAACCATCACTTGTGAGCCAACCCACAATGCCCCACTTGGCTGCTTCATCTGCATCGTACCTTCCTCCTCCTTTGGCGGTAGTGGTACCCGTTCCCAGTGATAAAACTATGATGCGATTATATTCAAGTGGTTTCATTGAGAAGACGTCAGAATTTCCCCGGCTAACTTCTTTTGTGACTTGGTTCATAGCAATTAACGCCTGCAAAAATTATTTAAATTAATGGATATTTACAGTAATTAGTGACCAGATTAATGGATCTTGTGCTAAATCAGTGCATTTTTATCGAATTAAATAGCAGCTGAAAGATGAGAATTGATACCGGATTATTGGCGGCGACACCACCATCAATAAGGTTAAATTTTCTAACACAGCCATCAGAATCTTGGACTTCGAAACGATGGGCAGGAAGATAAGTAGGGGCAGCCGAAGTTCCTTTGCATGTGTCTCCGAGAAAGGCATCTAGACTTGGGTGGTGTTTCAGCTGAACCATTTAAGTGTAACAAGAAAATGAGTTTTCATATATAGGAGAAAATGATGGTAAAAAATTGAAAGGTTTGATTAACCAAGAACAACCTCATAGCTGGAGAAGATTGTGGGCTGGATAAATTTGATGTCTCTGGTTGGATTGCTGAATTTTTCAAAAACTAATTTTTCAAAAACTATTAAAATTACCCTAAAAGTTACTCTAAAAAGTAGTCTAAATTTTTTTTAATATTAAAAAAATATTCCAAAATATATTCTAAAAACTCTTCTACTATTAAATATCCCAAAATATTTTCTAAAAATATCCTAAAATATATTATAAAAACTCTGCTATAGTAAAATTTTTTAAAAACACCTCCAAAAACAGTTAATCCAAGTGATAGAGTTTCATGCCACTTGGTCTCCCCGAGACTTTCCTTGAGCAGATCATGGAGATATTTTCCGTCATATTTGGGTCCTGACACTGCTGTAAATATTTTTCAGCTTGATCTAGTAGCGCCACGTGTCTGATCATGACTGGAAATAGAATTAGTTCATTGAAGTAGTTGGAGTAGTGCACTCACACACAATTATATTGGAAAAAAGTATACATAAAAATTCTTTACTTGAATGTACAACCGATACATAGTAGGAGTATATTATGAATGGAAATAGAATTACTAATTTGTAGTGGTTGTGTTAGGATACTTAAAATTATGTTGGAAAACAGTATACAACGAAGTTCTTTTATTGAATGTACACCTAATACTATATATTAATTTTTAGACGGTAATTTACCTTGCTTGGGGAAAGATTTTGGGGCAAGGGTCATCAAGGTAGAAGTCCTTGATCTCTTTGGCGGCAAAAAGACTATATGTTTTCAGACTCGGACCAGACATTGACTCGATCGAGTTATGGGGTCAGGGGTCAATGGATTCAACCGGATTCGATCAGGGTCGAATCGGATGACGTCATAAATATGTCACATATATAATACAAATCATATATAAAAATTCCTCTCATGTTGGTGGTTTACAATGTTATATACATACTAGGTATTCTGCCCTGACGCTATGCGTCAGGTAGGTAGGACCGGTAATAGGAAAACAAGGGAAGGAAAAAACACTGGCCAGAGAAAAGCTAAGAAGAAGAATGAGGAACGGGAAAAACACACCGGGTAAAGAAGGCGAAGAAAAGAAAAAGTAACAGCTCCCAAAACTCTGAAGCGTTACGCACTGGATTCAGCACATAACCAAGAACAGAATGAGAGGAAATTGCTGACCGCCAAAATGTTCCCATCCAAGAGGCCCACGCGGACAGAAGTGAATTTCCATCAAACCATTGCCGTCCAATGCCAAAAGACCAAAATACCCCTCAAGTTCACAAAAATCACAGTATAACCGGCCCACCAAACACAGCTTGCTCAGAAGATCAATTAGGTGAGAAAGTAAAGACATCACCCTACAAAACCAGAGACTGCTGCGGACACTATCCACCGCCTACTCACCAATGCAGCCAAAGCAACTACAATTATACAAGAGATTGGGAAACCAAACACACGTCTGAAGTGAATTATACAAGAGGACCACACCGACAGAAGCGAATTTCCAAGAAAGCTAATTAAACAGCGAATTACTTGAAAAGCAAAAGAAAACTTTTCAAGTCATTTCTGAAGCTACCAACGAAAACTAAAAAGAAGAAGAAAGCTAAAAGAGAAGAAAGGTTCCAGCAAAGCCAACTAAACAGTGAATCACTTCAAAAGCAAAAGAAAATTTTACAAGTCATTTCTGAAGCTGCCAAAGAAAACTAAGAAGAAGAAGATAGCTAAAAGAGAAGAAAGAAAACTACTGACCGCCCACCGCCCACTAGCCAGCAGAAATTATTAACTTCCAAAAGACCAAGCAGAACCGGAGCCCGCATGGCAAGAGACCAAGCCTTGTCTGCATCAACGTGTCGCCAAGCTGCCCCAATAGCATGCAACCAAGAAATCATGCAACCAAGAATCATAAAATTCCAGAAAAACCAATGCCACCCATCAGCAAAAGACCAAAATGCCCCTCAAGCTCACACAAATCACGGCATAACCGGTCCACCAAACACTGTTCACAGCTATTCGTGCTTTATATATGTAAGATTTGATGAGTTTAGATTTAGTCCAAAAGAACTCTATTGAAAAACTTTTAAAAGTTATAGGTAAACAATATAATTTGGAAAATATAATGGGTCAATATTATACTTTATTAAAACAATAAAGGGTCAAAATAAAATTATCTCAAAGTTGTAGGGCATTCAAGGTTAATAAATGCCAAACCTAATAAATGAGTCCTTCTTGTTTCTTCTTGATAGGTTGTATTTTTATCATTAATTTTATGATTATTTTTCTCTTTTATTTTACCAAATATTGCATTAATTGATGGATTCTAATTATATTTGGTAATTTGTGTTGGTGATAGGGATTTGGAATAAAAAGAGATTAAAAACATGAATTTTTTTGTTTTAAAAGAATAAAACTGCATGGCAACCAAAATTTTGGAGTGAAGAATCAGAACACAAGTTAAATTGGCTTTGATCAATTTCTTCTGGTTCACACAAACTTCAGAAACAACCAAACCAAAGTGATTTAATTTCACATTGGAAAAATGTTAAGCATGATTCCAAGGTGTTACGACACCAAGGATGACTGTACTAAACTAATCTCATATTGTAGACTGCTTTATTTTCCTTTGAATGCATCTTCAATTACCCAAAAAAAAAAAAAAAAAAGGTGTAAGCAACTAAATCAAGTTATAGTCGCAAAACGAGCACTAGAAGCCACATGGACCGTGCTATCTATGTCCAATGGAGATTCACCTTTTCTATTAGCAAACCCTTTTCCAGATAAAATTTTCAAGTTTATTTAGGTATCTGTACTATAGCCTGGAATTGTAGCCAATTCTATACTAAATTTTGGTATATTTGGAACCCTGTACAAGGACAAAAATTAGGTTGTTAGTTTATAAGCGTTTGAGATTCCAGATGCGCCCAGCGCCAAACAAAAGGAATGGGGCCAAAAAAAAAAAATCAAGATTGTCATCCACTAGCTGATATTCACATAAAAATTAGATTAAAAAAAGTCCAAGGAATAGAAAGACAGGATCCAAAATAAATCAAACAGAAATGAAGGCATTTCGGTCAAAAGATGGCGCAATTTCTAATAGCCCCACCAGCTTCAGTTTCCCTTGTTACAATTCACACCTCTAATTTCCGAAAGGTCACAGGTAAAAAGGAGTAGAAAAAGAATCCACGGCTACAGCGGCGGCTTTTGAAAAGATTCAATTGTCGAACGACACAGTTTTGTTAAACTCTTCCCAGTAGCATGTCTTTCAGTTCGTCACTTGTAGTAAGTTTTTCAGCTTTTACGCATTTCACATTTAGTCCCTTAATTTTTTATCTGACTCATATTAGTCCTTCTTTTATGGAACTTTGACACCTTTGGCCTCTTCCGTTGGTGCAAATTATAGCTTGGCATTGACAATACTGGAGTCTTGCTGTTTTAGTATTACATGATAAAAATCATATGAGATTTCAATACAATTAAGTAAATTCACATTATTGAAAACAAGTTGTTTATTAGAAATTAACTCTTATTAGAGTGTAGGGGAATGTTAGATCAGGTGGTAAAATAGGAGGGATTGTATGCAGAAAATCTTTGATTCAAATCCTTACACTTGCCAAAAAAAAAATCTTACTAGAGCGCAGAGCATGAGTTTTACAACTTGACAGTTTCTTCTTGTCTACATTACAAAAAAAAATTAAGATTTAAGAGTTTATCCGCGAAAGGAATAAATTCAAATTTCTCCTCAAATGTTGTTGGTACTATGCATGACCTCCTCTTTTCATCCAACCAATGAGAATACAACACCAATTTTCTATGTATTATTCTTAATTGGCTTAAAGTTGTTTTTCAGTATAGCTAATTCTACGATTTCTTTTTATTATTCATTGCCCATTTTTTTGGAATAATTTCACAAACCTCTCCTCAGATTTGTCTTAGTATCAGTTAGCACCTTATAGTTTCAAAAATCTCTTTTACCTCCCCTGTTAAATTAACAAGACAAGATTTCTCTATCATGGGTAATAAATGGACAATATTACCCTTCTGGAAATCCTTAATTGATTGACTAAAATTTGCACAAAAAAAAAAGAATTTGGAAAGTAAAAATATCAGGACAATAATTAACAAAATTATCATTTGTAATTGTGACTTTTTTTATCTTATAGTAATAAAAGATAGGGAACATCTATCATTACTATTACCTAATACATCAAAAGCACATCAAATGGACATTAGAAGCAAATATAACTTATTTGGATTTCTTTCGCTTTCAAAATCCTAATTGTCGTCTTCTTATTGTAATTAATAATATCAATTTTTTATATTAAATGCTGTTGGTGAATTATAAAGTGTCTTTAATATTAGAACTTGTTATGATTTGCAATAATATCTTCTACTAATTTCCTCTTTAAATTGCTTCTTTTGCCATTGAACTCGTGTTTTTTATTTTGTTATCTTGTTGTCTTTATAATCCTAGAGTTAGATGATTTGTCATTGCAAAGTTATAACATTACTTATTTGCTGCAACTTCTTTTTATTGCACTTACATCTCTTTCAATTTGTCTTTTACTTATTAGGTTTATTTTAATATTTATATAAAGGATAACAAAAAGGTACAAATGAAAATAAATTATTATCTCTCCTTATCTATGAATGTTTTAATGCACAAGGGGTGACAATGTTACAAGACATATCAATCAAGGGGAGGTAAGAGATATTTTGAAAACCATGAGGGTACTAAGTGATATTAAGGCAAACCTCATACATGGGAGGTTTGTGAAATTACCCTTTTTTGTTTGGGAGGTGGGAAGGAGTTTGTAGGGCTTTTCAATTGTCATATCAACTTATGTGACAGCTACTCGAATAGGATTCATCACTTCACATGCGGAGTGTTAAATGAAAAAAAAAACAGAAAAGGGAAAAAGAAAGAATTTGTAAGCTTTAGACAATATAATCTTTCCCATAAATTGCTACACTTTTTTTTTTTTTAAGGAATCAATTGCTACACCTAAAAACCAAAAAAATGAGTACAAAAGAAATTACAGGCTGCAATCATTAACGTCTCAAGGCAGTATGTATTTATTAATGGTTAGGTTCCAAGTCGTAATCGATATATCGGTCCTGGGTGGTTGAATGTCACTCGGGTTATTGTCACATTAATATTGTGATATGAATTCATTCCGAAGCTGTGAGCAAATTAAAAGATTGCCTTTGATCTCCATATTATAAGAGTCTCAGTTGCTGGAATAAAGTTAATGTACATCATTATATATGAACCGAACTTAACCCAAATACAAAACTGCAGCATTGTTAATTTAATTGCTGCAATACCCCATCTGAAATCAATAAATTTATAGCAGATAAGGATAGAAGACGATTTCCCCAGCTGTCACTATAGAGTGACGCTGGTTTTAGTAAATCCCTTTTCATTTATTGGGTTATCATTGATTTAGAGGATAAGTTGATTCCCTTTGTCTTTGACTAAGCCGGATTAGTGAGTCTAAAACGCAACCTCCTTAGTCTTTAGTCTTCATTTATGGTATTAGTCTTTAGTCTTCATTTATGGTTGTTCCCATGTTCAAAAATTTCTCTCGTTGTACGTTGTACAACGAGTGTCACATGTATAGATTATCCTCTTTTCAACATTCGCTAGGACCAAGTTGAAATTGATCGTTGCATATGTCTGTCTTTTGATTTGATGATCATTGGAGACCCGTTAATTTCATAATCAATTATGCAAGTTCATAAAATTTTCCAGGACACCTTGGTAGATTTTGCAACCCTTATCCAACGATCAACTGCAGA